TCCTGCTGGGATCTGTTCTAGAAACATAAGAAATGGTAAATACAATGCACAGTGTCCCTTTACAACAAAGTGCAATAATTGGGGAAAAGAAAGTGTTTCTAACTGAAAGGAACTCTTAAGATTTGAGTGTAGGAGAACTTACACATGGTGCTTGGACAGGAGTTGACCGCCTTGCTTTGCGAAAGCACTGAAACTGAGCTTGTAGCCAAATTTCCTTCTATGCACATTATTTACCTGCAGAAGATCTTTATTGCTGAACTGGGTCAGCTATCCAGTGTCCCACATGAAGGAAAACTCAGATACACCTGGTAGCTGAACACTCATTTGTGAACAAACCACAGCACCTTGTGCCCAGCTATATCTATCAAGCATCTGATGTGGCAAGAATATCACGTTAGCATTGTATGTCTAAAGGCACGAAAGCATCAGTGCTTTCCTAAGACACTCAACGTCCTCTACTGCAAGGAGAAACTGGATTTATAGGCTAGCAAATACAGACTGAATTCAGCATGTGTATGAGAAAATGACCCAGCTTCCAAGTGCTCCTGGGAACTTCCACTTCATAACCATCAAGTTGTCAAGACAACTATATATTCTTCCAAATTATGCAGCTGTCATGTACACAATGACATTGAAGCAAGACAGAAAATTCTGGCTGATTACCAGATGTTAAGGTACAAGTAATGAATGACTTCCCGTTTCAATTGCTGTCTCCTCTCCTGACTCAAACGTAAGTTCTCAGAGATCCTATAAATGAAACAATTCAAATTTCTTCTGAAACTGTTGGTAGGAGGCAGCATCTCCCACTCCTTCTCTCCATTCAAGATGCACTTTAATTTTAAAGGTTTGAATAGAACCCACAAAAATCACCCACAATTAATGTCAAAATGACATTGTAAAACATACAAAACATTTGCAAAACAGAAGTGATTCTGTAACATTATCAAAGACAGTCCACCTTCAGCGGTGTACCACTTTTTTTACTACACACACACATACAGAAATACAGACTTTCCAGTCATTTTGCTGACCCAGTTCTTCATGCTTATGCAGTGTAGGAATGAATATATGTCTTGGCACATAATAGCCTACGATCTTTTTAGTGGAAACCAGAGACCACAATTTCCAGCCCCAACTATTAAATTCAGCAAAATAACACACTGTAAAAATAAAATTGTTTGAAAAAAGGCTTGTGGTCTTAGGTCAGCTCCACTGTATTAACCACCATCATAAGTGCAAGACAAGTATTTAAAGCAATGAGAAGTCTCATATTCATCAACAGACTGTAATTTTACATTTGATACTATAAGTGTGTCATTATCTTACTGGTGTCCCACGATCTCCTGGCTTCCCTGGTTTTCCGCTTGGGCCAGCAACTCCTGGAACTCCTGGGGCACCCTATAGCAGAAGAGAAGTAAAGTGAATTGTGGAAATCCACAACAGCCTAAGTGCTAATAAGAAATGTATTATAGAACTGAATGCAAAGCAATACTGAAAACGGCTCCTATCAGTTTTGCGGGTTTTTTTTTCTGTTAGGTACATATCAGGCTTAAAAATAATAAGCTGGTTGGTGTCAGTAGACCTAGCTACACAGTTAGAGATCATGCCTAAAGAACCAGGTAAACTGGTTCTTCCCTTATTTGCATGGGCAGAAATAAGTTTCAAAACCACTCATATATGTTTGTGAAGACACGTTATGTAGCTGCCTGCTCACCTTTTACTAAAGAGTTTCCCAAATCCATTTAGGATTTTAAACAAAGGATCCATGTCATATTTGACAGAAACTGAGAATGTCAATGGGGGTCTCTCTTGGCTTGGGTCTCTTATTTCAGAGTATATCAAAACCAAAATTATATTTACCGCTGGTCCTGGTGGGCCTCTGGGACCTGTGGGACCATCTTTTCCTGTGAAACCCTATTCAAAAACAAAAGTATGATTAGTGATTAACCTAAGATTGTAGCATGATTAAAATGGCCTTTAAGATTATGTAATTGCAATACTCGTGATTACTACTAGCATGTATTTTAAAACCTATCCACATGTAAGTTATAAAAATAGAAAACATGGCTAATGCTGGAGAAGGCCATGGAGCAATGAGCTTTAGCCAGTTTAGAAGATGTTCAGCTGTTGTTGATTATCTGAACATGGAATAAGTCTCTCAACATCTCTAAGAAAAGGAATCATTCTATCCCAGCGGACCAAGATTTCCCTTTTTGCTGTTCTCTCACTCATTAGCTGTGGTTGCTACTTAAATGAAGAACAACCTCCCTTTTAGACACTTCACCTGTAAGAAGAGGTGCTGATAAATACCATTTCAATAATCTAATATAGGATCACAAACTAACGTTGATGGTGCATGGCTCATTAATGACCCACCAACCCTATGGCACGTTCTTTGGCAACTGGCCATCACGTAGTGGCCTGTTTTCAATTCCAGCTATCAAGACCCACTAAAGGATAACTATAAATTCATATATCGGCTATTAATTTTGACTGTAAGGTTAAGTCATTGCTTCAGTCATCTCAAAGGCGATATGCCACTGTGAAGACAAAAGAGATTTGCTTAGTTAACCTCAAATTAGAAGAAAGGAATTGCAGCAACTCCATGATGAAATACCTGTGTGCATGCTTTTCATTATGAAGACAGTTCAGAACCCCTCATCCAAAGTTCTTAGCTTCAGATAGTCAAAGGTTAAAGAGCAAATTTGACCTTCACAGTAAGAATGGCACAGCAACTGCTTTATGAATTGGACATCTCCCAGACATTGTGATATGCAGAGTTTCAAAGGGCTCCCCTTGCAGCAGCAACAGTGTGTGGAGGACAGGAGAGCTGAGTACCTCAGCAGAGCCCTGCTCAGTGGGCATCCTGCTCTATGGGTGCAGGCTTCTGAGAACCCAGTCAGGAGAGTGAGCAATGCAATTTTTATAGAAACTATCTGGCTACCCTATGGCCGGCCATCTGGGGAGGTTTTCACCCCTAGGTTTTTCCAGTCCTTCCACTTTTACCTCTCCAGGTTGGATACCGATAAAAGGAATCTTTTTGAAAAAGCATTTGAAAAAAGAAAAACATGATAAATAATTAGAAAAAGAAAAGCATTATTTAGTCTTTTCATAAGATAAACTGAGAAAACCTTACCCTTTCTCCTGGAGGTCCCACTGGGCCAGGTGGACCAGGTAAACCCGGGGTTCCCTAAAGGTAAAAGGAATAATAAACTGTATCCATGACAGAAAAAAACCATCATTTCTATGCTAATCATTCCACTATATATGCACGCTTTTAAATATTTAACTATCTTTAATGTTACTTTTCAGCACCTACAAAAATAAAACAAACCATTTATTTCATATACATGATATGAGTCTTCACCCTCACTCCGCTTTTTACTTCTGTTTCCTTACCAGCCCATAATTAAACTTCAAAAATAATTTTCAGTACTGTTCCCATAAGACAGATATATCTGTTTTATTGCCTTTACAAGCATGACTTAGAGATGTCAGCTACTCCTTTAACACCTGGTGCTAAAGTCTAGCTGCAGTCATTGGTCAGAGTGTATCTAAGGAAACAAGCATCAGATTCTTCCTTTATTACTCTTTTCCCCCTACTGCCCTATTTTTTAATATACTGCTGTTTTATTGTGAACATTCTAAACTCTCTGTTTCTATTCCACGTAGTTTCTGGGTAGAGAATAAACCCTAAAATTAAACAGGCAGGCTACATTAAAGGAGACTCGGGAATAACTTCATTCAACACTGTGTAGGATCAGTACTACTGTTGTAGAAACTGGACATTGAACAGCCTTGTATCACATTGTCATGTTCTTCCTTCTCACTCTAGCCTCACCATACACTAAAATGTAGCATTGCTTTCTATAGGACATCACTACTCCCTAAATGTATATCACTCAGCGTTATAAGGACTAATAAAACAAGTAAAGAATACAAGGCCCTTGGTCCCTGACTGACCTTATCTGATCTCTAAAACTAAATTCACACCACCATTTAAGCATCTACAATAATGTCTTTACATTCCTAATAAAATCAAAGACAATATAGTAATCAACAAATAGCAAGACACCACATGTGCAGATCAATTGAAATAATCAATTGATTGTCCAAATCTGGCTGATTATCCAAAAAAACCCTTATGTTTTTATCCTCAAAAGCTAATATTAGTCTACAAGATGGGAACCTGCATGGAAGTGGAATCTAATATTGCTTTCTTCTTTCAGAAAGCAAACAATGTCCCAAGACCATTTGACTTCCAAAAGTAGAAAGGAAATAGAGAACACTGCTGAAGAGGGGTTCAGCAAAGGTTCTGTAACCTATATTTTAGGAAGACATTTAACTGCAGGTGGTCAGAAGTTGAGACCTTCCTGTGGAGTTATCAATGTACTTTTCCTAATCTGATGGTCTGTCTCTGTGCATTCAGAACTCTCCAAATGGACTTTTGGCTTGAGTCAGTACAGCTGTTCTTTCACTCTTGCTGTTTTGAATGGTTTCCTATTTCCTATTTCAAATTCCAAAGTGTAAGATAATTATGTTTCCAAAACTATAGCTTAGGAAGTTATGAGAAGAGCCCATAGCTCCTAGCGATGTCAAAGACAGCTGTCCAGCAGTCAACTTGCATTGGGAATAGTGTAAAATGACATTATCCTGTCTATGTGTTGACTTACTGATCGCCCTGGAAGTCCAGGCTGGCCAGAATCACCTTTCAATCCTTGACGACCCTATAAATTTCATAAATGATTGTTAGAGATTCTGAATTACAGAATAGATCACCAAAATAATCAATTTGTGTAAATGGACACAAAGTATTTCCTGCAAGAAAAAGATTAAAGATTTATTCCATAATACATATTGGCTTATGGATTAAAGACACATAAACCTCTTAACTGAAGCAACACTTACCGTCTCACAAACATTTGCAAAATTTAAGCTCTTCCTAAACTGGAAACATCAAAATTACATTTTTTTTTCTTTTGGGGTGATTACTCATTAAAATATGGCAAAAGCAGTCTTAATACATTCAGAATGTTGACAAGCGGTTACCTATTCTATCTGTTCTTAAAAATTTGATGAAACTTCATCAGTGTTAATAGAGTTACTTTGGCTTTGAAAGCATGTACATGAAATCAGAAGTAGCCCCTCCTAAGATATGCATGCTGTTGTCAAGAAAGCCCCCCAAGAATGAACGGCTATTTTGTATGCCTAGATCTAGGCATCCATTGCCTCTCTGAACTTTCAGTTGATTTAAGCTCAGAAAATAGAATTTGGACATGTAGAACTGTAAGAAAGGCTTCAGAGTAATACTGCAGGCTTAATTTTCCTGCATCACAGTTTGATGGTTTTGAGTCCTAAAACTTGAAGGCCTAGAAACTCTACAGAAAAGCTGCACAAGAAAAAATGGAGCAGCACATTGTACATTACAATGCTTAGACTCTGTCCCTTCGCAGACATCCCATAAGCATATGTAGCATTCAGGACAGAAAATGCTATTATATAGGAAGCGACTTGTTTCAGAAAGAGACTTGTTTCATACTACTGCACTGCAGGGAACAACAAATGTTAGGGCCAAGCAGCCACCCTTTTCCCAAGACCACCACCCCCATGGACAGCTCAGACTCCACACACAGTGCCACCACACTCAGAAGTGCCACTCACCGGTTCTCCTGGGATTGACAGCCCATTGGGGCCCTGGGGACCTGGGGGACCTTGAGGGCCAGGAGGACCTGTCTCACCACGAGGACCAGGTGGCCCCTTAAAGCAGAAAATTAAAACAAAAGTGTAAATAACAACCCCTTCTTAGATCTGTAAATGAAAAATCCTTTGAGTTAGACACTTAGAGTAAGTCAGAAGCCTGCAGACACATTAAACACTTTAGAACAACTGTGGAAACAGTTATTCAAGTGTCATATCCTTTCATAAGCTAGTCTGTGATTCATGCTGGCAGCCTATGGCCAATACATGCCTTCTGGCAGTGTTAATTAGTATAGCTGTCTCCTCTGTAAAGAAGAAAGGACAAGAGTCCTATGCATGTACTCTAGTTTCCTGCTGAGTAGTCAATGCCTTTGAGGCTACATATATACGTAAGCTGTGTATATATAGTCTTAAATAACATGCAGGCATATTTCAATTTTAATTCTTAGCTCAGTATAGAACTAAGCATACAAATGTTCATAGAGGTAAGCATGTAGCAATGTTACAGATGCATTCCGGAAAGATACTTACAGATGATCCAGTCAAACCCCTTTCACCTCTGGGACCTTTTGCGCCTGGGCCACCCTAAATTGAATATTTGGAAAGAAAATGTATTTTACACAGGGTAAGCAAGGGTACCTCATACTGGTGTGCATTATGAATCCTCTTTATCAAACTCAGTTCATAGATCTCACTACTAAAAAGAGTACTAGAATGAAAGACGCATCAGAAACTCAGGTCAATCGCATCAGCTTCAGCCTTGCCAACTCATTCCATGAAAAACTGTCATTTCTGTCTCTGCAGATATAAATTTCTTCAATTTATATTCATCAGTCTCTGGATACCTCTCTAGTAGACTGCCAGACAAAGCTAACAGGGCTTCAGATTCCTCATGCAGCTTTCTTGATAGCTTCAAAGTAGAAGGACTACTGGGCTGAGTATAACTCCCTTATATTCAAAGCAATTGGTAGGAGCATATCCATTCCATAGATTACTATCTGTCCACATAAAAAAGAGAGTAACTAATTTATTTCCCTGACAGAGTAAAGAATCTTTCCTTGGAGTGAAATCCTGACTCTGTACTTAGGAAAAATATTTGCACAGTCCATTAAAAATATCTTGTACATGAAGTGCAAGACAGCTGAGATTGGGCCAGATTCGTTCAACCTATCAGACAATGAGAAGCTATTCACAGCGATCACATCGGGAATATGGGAAAAGGATTATTATATAAACAAGTAGAGGTGGAAGGAGCTGCCCAACTGTGTTTTAAACTAAGATGATGTTATGGACATCTTGATAGGAACTATCTCTGACTGACTTTTGCTTCACAAAACCACAGATCAACACAAAACTACTTCCATCAATTTAAAATCAGAAAATCTATTGAGAACAGTTCCTTACAGCTGGTCCAGGGGGTCCTGGAGGTCCGACGCTGTCTTGAGTACAGGTACAAGCATTTGGAAGAGCTGGGCATTTTGCTTCATCTCTCTGAAAATTCAATCACAACTATTACTGTCCTTTTAAAGAAAAGTACTTGATGGCAGCATACTTTTCTACAATAACAGCAAGATTCTCTATTATCCTGTTTTCAAGTACAAGTAAAACTCACAGCTAAGCAGTGGTTTCCAAATGTTTTTACAGGACCTTTCATATTTTTAGCCAATTTTCTCTGTGAGCAATACAAGACAGTAACAACAGAGGCACAGGAAAATCAAATGCATATGCAATTTCTGTTGTTCTAATATTTATATCCATTAGACAATCAGCTTGCACTGACAAAGAATGAGCCAGTTACTTTTTGAATGCCAGTCTAAGAACAGATTAAATAAAAAAATAATATAGCTATTACATTCACAACACCTAGGATCTTACATATCACTGAAATACAAAATACAACTGACATTCTTCATCATTCCTAATGGACTCAAATCTAGCACAATCTTTCTCCCTCAGAAAAAACTCTGAAATGTAGTGTTGTTCACTGGCTGCTCTGACAACTGTGATTTAGATGTGTTGTCAGTTTGAGGTATACAAGGCTAATATTGTTATTGTTAAATTGGCTGTTAATAACGATTTTCTGAATAGTCTCTAGTCCACTTATACTTACCATAGAAGGAAGATCACAACATCTGTCTCTGCTAGTCCAAACTGGACTGCAAACAATGTCAAAATTCTGGATTTCTAACTGTAAAAGATAGGAAAACTCATCAAAGATACTAGAGATGTTATTTATGAAATGTCGTGGCATCATTATTAAAAGTGACTCCTCAAACAATTCATTCCTAATGTAGTCCATAATTCAGACTTCCACTTCTTTTTTTTTGACACTGACAGAAAAATGATTCAAAGATAACACAAAACTTAAAACCAAGCCTAAATAAGGACACAAGAACTTCAAGCATTGATGCTTGCTCTTGTTCTGGGGCAAAAGGTAACCAAATAAAGTGACTCAATAAATATTTTGCAATAATTAATGAATACTACTGATGAACTTCTACATCAGCTAAATGCCTGTGCACTTCAACATGAAATCTTGCTGAAAACCTTTTGTATCAGTTCTAAGGACTGCAGTCCTTGGGTCGTATATTAATTCAGATTCATGTACGGAACTTTCCACTGAAATTAGCAGGGAAAAGTTCTGCAGAAAGGCTTAAGTGAGGACCTTAGGTAGACTGTACAGTAAAAGCAGTTTCATCTCTCTCTTCCACCTCAAGAGCTGTAGTTTGATACATACAACCAAACGTTTGGTGATGAGCACCAAGAATCTTCTTCAGGTGTTAGAGTTTGCACATATGGGTCAGATTGCAGACTTAAATCTGCTGATATGAATCCCAGGTTATTATAATAGCATTGATTACAAATTGTATATAGTTAATTTCTCAAGAGAGTTGATGTGCCTTTCATAGCAGCAGGTTTATAGCTCATAAAGCCAGCGGGGATTACTCTGATCACCCAGTACAACACGACAGGACTCACCAGAATTAAAACCCATTCATTACAGTATCTCTTTTAGAAAAACAAAACAAACTTCATTTAAAAATTTCCAATGATTGAGAATCCACAGCAAATGGTTCCAATGACTAACTGCTCTCCCTATTAAAAGAAAAACATTTCTGCTTTTGCTTGCTACAACTTTCAGCTATTAGGTTTTTGTTCCTGCAATTCTGCTAGAATGCAAAACTATCGAGATCAAACTTCTCAGTTAAGCATATGGGGTCTTGCAGTACAGACACTTGAAAGCTTTGGGTGCAAGAGTGGTTTCTTAGCAATCCTTAATCTCTAATCTCTTTCCTCAGAAAATTTCAAGGGTTTGCATTAATGAATGGATTAATCTTTATTGCTTACTGTTGCTGATCTCCGATCGCCTTTCAGAAGTTTCCCAAGTATTTCATAGCCATCAGTTGTGATGTTCCCAGCCTCCTTAATTGGTTTTTCCAGTATTTCATTGCAGTCAATGTAAATCTTAACGTTTGATGAAGCTACAACAATATGGACCTGAAGAAAAGTTTAACATAATATTTAGAAAAGGCACATAGACATATTTACTGTGGAACTTTAACAGTATTTCACTGTTTAGGTAATACTGTTTTCAAGTTTCTTCCTAGTAATCCTGCTTTCCTTTCAACTAGTGGAAAAGTTCAAACTCAAGGAAAGTCTATGACACTACTAACCTCTTTAAAATGTGTTGAAGGTCAATACAAGCACAACTGAGACACATTATTTTCTATAACAGTTGAACTACAATGATCTATTGAAAAAAGCTTGCCTGAAAATTGCTTTAAGATGGTATAAAATTAAAAAAGTAAATTTAATTTTTGAGAGGAAGTTAATATAAGCTCTTATTGTCCTCTTCTGATGGCTGGGACCACACAAGAGGTTTATGAGTCTGTGACTGCCCACTGGCTAATAGACTCTGTCTGTAGTTCAGAGAGGAGATTGTTTCAGATCCAAAGATCCAGGGTTCAGTTTCCACAGATGACTCAACCAGAGGCAGTAGTTGCTTTGAGATACAGGAAGTGAGCAGAGAAGTCTGCCCAGAAAAAGACAAAAATAATGGAAGATGCAAGAGAAATTTTCACGAGAGAAATTTGGCTACAAAATCACAGGCCAAAATAAGAGGAAACAGGAAAGACAAGGAAGAGAATTACTGGAAACAGGAAACTGAGGAGCGAAGAAAGAATGACTGTAACAGAGAGCAAGTTTACCACAAGATAAGAATTAAGTGTTTGAGGGAAACACAGTAAATGTTAAACAGAAGAACAAACAAGATTGAAGCAAAGGTTACCATTCCTAAAATTTATAGTAAGTATGACAAATGTTACGAAGGGGAATTTCCTACATATCCATGAAAACAAAAGACACAGGAGTCTCAAAGAAAGAAACAAGGGTTTGACATTTTAGTAAATTTAAGATGCAGTTGACGAAAGAACATCTTAAGGCAATAGAAAGGTTTAAGTGGCTTTATTCACCTTACACACTGCCTATATTTTATAAACAACATCACATCTATGTAATTGTTAAAATACCAACACAGAAAGATCAGCAGTAAAGAATCCTTGAAGTATGTATTTCTGTTTTAAAGCTTCTGTTATCACAGTACATAACCCTTCAGAAACATATTGCTCTTCAATGACTTCTTTAAAAAATTGGCATGAAGTTGAAACAGAGATTCCCTTAAATGTCCTGAGTCTGAACAATCTCCTGAGAATTTGTTCTTTTTTCCCCATACTAAATATTTTCCCATGTGGCGTTGTCTCCAAGGTATCAGCGTAGCTTATCTAAAACTCTTTAAACATAATGTGCTTATGCTTTATATAATTCGAATTAAGACTTCTGAAACTGCCCTCATTTTTTTGTCATCATTCAGTTGGCATCACAATTTAATCCTCAGTGCTGTGTATACAAGTGGGGTTTTTTAATTAACATTCCCAACGTTGTTCATTGACCAAACTAAAAATAATAGAAAGATAACAGTGTGTGTCCAAAGTATATTTTGGTTTTAGATATCAAACTTTCCAAAACATAAAATAAACACCGTGTCAAAACTTAAAATTCATTATTGTTCATACTTCATATACTCATTCATTTGATTATACAGCTAAATTTTACAGGTTAACTAATGTATCAAACTGTTTAAACTCATCTCAGATGTCATTTACTAATTCTGAAAAGTATCTAATGTGCAAATCCTTCTACTGGGATGTTAAGTGTTTGTCACAAATTAAATAAAGCAAATGACATCTGCATACTGTATGCATATTACTGCATTTTCATATGCATAGAAAATTTAGGAGAGGTGAATCTACATCGGAATGCTGAATGGGATCATCAGTTTGAAGCTGTTCAGACAGCAATGACTGCTGAGCATTGTCTGTCTATCCAAAGAAGTGATCCCAGCAGTCGAAAAGAAGCAGGGCTTCCCCAACCCATTGACTCAGCTCACTGCTGATTTCATGCCAGCTCTGAATTCCAGTCTGAATCTCATGGCCCAAGCATAAATCTAATAAAATTATGCATCTTGTGTTTATAGTAAATAAAACATCTCTGTTTTCTATCCTGCCACAAACAAAAAAAAAGCAGAAGGATTTTGTTTCCAACAAAATGTTAACAGAAACATTCCATTCAATTTCTAACACACCAACATAAAGCATCACTTCTGACCACTTCCAGTGCCAGAAGGCACTGAGGTTTTAAGAAAGAAAACATACTTTAATCTTTCTCTGGACCCCTTCTACAACATAAAGTTTGATGGTGTTTTGATCTGTTGCTAAATGAGCCACATCAATAAGCTAAGCAAACTATTATCCCATATGTACATCAGCAGAAAGACATACACTCATTATCAAATTTCCTGTGGCTAACTACTGCAAAATTGCAATCTAAAAGGAAGTCTAGCATGGTAAGAATAAGAAAGCAGAAGTCGTCTGTCTCTTCAAAACATTCAGTTATAAATTTAATGACTGTCTCAGGCAGTCAGGATTTTTCCTAGGGGACTTGCCAGATTCAACAGCTTTCACCAAAGCTATGCTACGCAAAGTCTTCAAATATGCCAAAGCAAATTTCCCTGCACAGTTAGGTGTAGTTAACTGTGCCTCACTGCACGAGCCAGTAAGTCATCGAATGAAAACCACAAAAATGTTTGATATTTTGGAAAACACCTTCTCGTATTCTAAAGATCTGTCATTTCTTTGAAACTGGATGGCAGGAGGAATTGCAAAAGTACCTTTTGAAATGTGCTAATCTTCCTTTCCTTCCTTCATCCAGCTGAACCTACTGCTATCCTTTCTTAGGAGCTAATCAACATGGCTGGTACCTAAGGCTTTCCCAGCACGTGCGCTGGGGAATCCCGTGATGCCATTGACACGATCCCATTAAAAACCTGACTCATATAGCAATCCCACTAATCATGCTGGAGAGAATCCAGAGGAGTCAGCTCAGTTACATGGTGAAAAATCCCAAAGACAGGTCTTTAAACCAAGGCTACTCCAGTTACTTTAAATACTATCAAAATCTGAACTTCTGCTTCCTTTGTGGGGAAAAAAGAAGAGGAATGACACACTGCACTAAATAACTGATACATGGTTCATTTTACCTCGTAAGCAAGAATTCATAGTTCCAGAGCTTTTTTTATGTCTTTTACTCCTGTACATCATTCATCATCTTAAGTTTGCTTTCTGTTCATACATTAGTGTATTTAACTATTAATACAAAATGCCAGATTTTTATTTTCCCTGTAATTTTTTTTCACCAGCAAGTGTCATAAACAGTCACACATAACCTGCTGTTCCCCATTTTGCTCTGATAAATGAGCAGAGATTCACTGTAAGTGCTGTCAGATAATTCTGCCCAGCTCCATCACATTCAGAGGAACTGTAAGGAAAAGTATGACTTCGAATGTCAATTAAACTAGTGGTAGGCATTTAAACCAGACTGCTGTCAGTACAGAACAAAGAGAGCTTTACAACACTGATCTGGAAAAGGGACTTCTCAAATCTCACACTGATATCTAAAAGGAAGCATGCTACATGCTGTTTTAACAGTACTTCTTGGTGACAAGATGACTCAACTTCTACACCAAAACAACATCTATCCTAGCCTTTACTGACAGTTTTCCTCACTCCACTGGATTAACACATTTTCTTAAAATTCAGTTGTATTAAGCTATCAAAACACAGATGTGATCCAAGCCTACTTATAAGTATCAGTCACAAAGTCAGTGACATAAACATCTCTTCATATATGCAAAATTAATTAGCCATTGAATAAATTATAAACACAGGAATAATTGGACATTACATAGAAGCAGTTTGGGAAATTATCCTCTGTCAAATTCTGAGGAAACCGATAGCTTTTACAGCACTGTGCGATTATTGTAGTCATCCATGCTTGAAACAGATTAAGTCACCAAACATAAAGCTGACACCAGCAAGCTTTCCCTGCTCTCAGCCCAGCACATCTAGGTTGACAATGTGGCCTCCAGCATCAGCAAGCTGACAGAGGCAACCTCTTATCTGTGTCCTCAAAGGAATGCTGGTAGTGACTAGTCATGCAGGAGAGGATATCATAAAGAAAACAAATCCTATACTCCAACCATATTTAGAAGAAAACTAAACTAAACAGAAGCGAGATAAATGAAAACATGAGAATGTGCATTTCAGCTGACCAAAAATGTTGCAATTGCAACTCACTTTCTTGCCCTAAACATATACTCTTAATAGTTTTTAAATTGTGTTATAGAGATATTTGTAGCCTGAGTCAAACAATTCCCGATGACTAGAGGTAAGGAAGCCTGGCAGGATCAAGTTTTCATGATGCGGTGCATAAAATTAGAAAAGCAAGCACAAAACTATCACAGTTGGCGGCAGATGCAGTAACATGTAAGGATTTCATCACTAGCCATTTTGTCAATTCAAAAAATACGAGTTTCATTTTAAATCACAAATAGGTTACATGATCTTTTATGGGCTCTCTGTCATTATTGTTGCTTCCTCACTTAATATTGCATTAGAATATTTTGGAGTATTTCAAGTCGAGTGAGTTTAAGCCAAAAATATACCACTGCATATGCATATACACAAAATATATACATATACATGTATTGTGTTTGTTAAACGTGTGAATCTTATTCAATATGCTATACACCTCCCAAAATTGGTTCCCTGCCTTTTTCTGTAAGGCAATAACTACTTACTTCCTGTGGCTATATCTTCTCCTCTGAATGATTCCAAATCACTACACTCCCCCACCAGAATTTTCTCATCACAACTTCCTTTCCTTTTTTTTTTCCAGTTTATCTTTTATTCTTCCTTTCATGTGCCAGGAATCAGGCTATGATGTCTTGTTCAGATATATCCCTCCACTTACACAATCTGGAGAAATCTCTTACATTGGTTCAAAGTAGGCCTTTCACTCAATAAAAAAAAAGAAGAGCTACAACTTCATATATCTTGTCACCTTAAAGTACTGTACAAAGTACTGTACTGGATAAAACTGACAGTGACTTCTGCTTGCTTGTCTTTTCTTTCAAAGAACAAAACTTCATAAAGCAAAATTCAAAATTTCAATCCTTTACCTTGTGGAAGCTTCCATAAAAGATTTTCTTTACTTCATCGTTATCAAAAGTTACAGTTTGGACCTCTCCCCTTGTATCTTTGTTGAAGAATGACAGCACTTTGTTGGCAGCTGCAGTAAATGAAAAGAACACATTTAATTGTATATTTACCACTGAAACCACTATCCCAAAACACCCTTGTGGATAAAATGTAGTATGCTACTCACATGAGAAAACACAGATTACAGATGGTCTTACTGACCCAGAAGTATGTAGGTGTATATTCCTTTGGTTGTAAAGGTAATACCAAAGTTGAAAAATAGCTTAGTTGAATTATTCTTAGTTGAAAAAATAATTTATGCACAAAGTAAAAAAAAAAAAAAGTCTTTTACAACTAAAAATAACCATGTAAGAATGCTTTGGTTTTGAAAACATTTGGGAAGGCGGCATGCAAAGTAACGTAATACATGAATTCTCTGCACAATAAGCAAAATCATCCTTACGATCAAGCACAACTCCAACTTGTGGTTTGTAATCTCTGTCTGTAATCTGCCAGATCGCAAAAGGCTCGTTGGGGGACTCGGGCAGAAGACGGAATAACAGAATGATAGTGTATGCCTGTGGTAATCCCTCTGGGTGAATCTCCCTGTTAAGACAATATGAGGACATTTTTTCACATGGAAACACAGGAGGAAAATAAATTCTTCATCATTTGCTCTTTTTCAAACAAAAGACACGAGAGTAAGAGGGAAACCACAGTGTTTAACATAACTGAGCATTTTAACAACTCTCTCAAATAGAAAAGAACTTTGTGATAAAAATCACTGTGTGATTTGTTAAGATAACTCACAGCCTGTCTTCAATTGGTCCAGGCACAATAGGTATGGAGGAAACCAGAATAAGACCAAGAACTCGTAGACGTGTATTCCTGTGGCAAGATTCTGCATAAACCACACATATTTTAAATATCTTGATGATAAATATAGAAAACAGGACCACAGCTTTAGTTTTGTTTCATGTGGTCTGTTTTAAACAGAAAGCAGTACTCAACTACTGCTGCCCTTCAGGCACAGATACAATGAAGGAAGCATTTAATGTATTCCCTGCAATTGGTGATGTATTTGGGCTCCACTTCTTTCACCAGTGGCTGAGATATAGGTTTGTGATGTTCAGACTGTTAGATATGAAACAAAAAAAACCAAAACCAAACGAAAACAAAGGAACAAACAGAACCCCAGAAAGTCAGAAATAAAAATATGCATTAAATGCCCTCCAACATTTCCTGAAAAGGAAAGGAGGGAATGCAGGAAAGGATCTGTAAGGAAGGAGGTAGCTTCTGCTTCTCCTTAACTGTTACAATGAAACTGAGAAGGCGATTTGACCTCATGAACATAAACACAGAAACCTTAAAATGAAGAATGAAGCTGCTTTGTACTCTAGGTAAATCTTCTGTATCCATAGAATTATGGCTATTCTGTAATAATAGCACAATCACTAAGTCAACACCACCACACAGCACAGTGCAAGAAAGAAAATATTAAAGTAGACAGAGCAACACTATTTACAACTTGGATACTGAGTAATCTCAGACATGAAAACAACTATGCCACCAGGATCAGGATGCTTTTATTGCTTTGCTGACTCAGACTAAAGTGAGTTTTATTTCCTGGCTTCTTATGAAAAATAAGTGCCCAGAATACTCTGGCAAGTTTACTCCACCTCTTACAGTAGAAATCTATGTATCTCTACATTCCTAGAAACTGAAATAAATAGGAAGTCTGTCTTTTTAACATCTTATCCTGCTAAACACAAGTTTAATCTTAACATAAGAGAGTTACAAAACAAGATTCCAGTGACTGCGATTATATGTACTTCCCTAGATCATAAAAATCCAGGCTGTCAGAGATCTATCACCCTGATAGCTGCAATGCCACATCAATGAACTCAAAAAGTCCTCAACTCCTCCACTTTGAAAGCTGTGAGCTCAGAAAGCTGTCAAAAAGAAACTATTTCTTCATATATCTCAGCTCCTGTGCCTGTGATCTGATCTTTAACCAATCTGGCAGGACTGCAGATTTCAAAGGCTTGCATGAAAAGATTAAATTTCCTTAAATTTAATAGGAACAGTGGGCTATCCTTAGGTATCTCCTCTGACTCAGAATGACTTTTCTGAAACTTATTTAAATAGATGGCAGAGGAACAAATGTGAAAAGAATAACAGAGGTACTGTTTTCCTAAAAAAACCCAACTGCTAACTAAGTCTTTCTAACTAAGTCTTTTTTTCTGTGTGTGAAAAAAATGTTGGAACGAATGACCATATACCACCCCTCCATAACCAAACTCTAAGACCACAGGCCCTTGAAAACTCCACTCCATTTGCCAAATACAGCAACTCAAATAGAGGAGAAACTGTCCTAAGTCAATGGATCAATGTGCTGCCTACTGCGGTGTGAATGATGCCCCCGCAAAAAGTGGTGCTTATCCGTCCATATTGAAACCATTTCCCTCTGGCAATGCAGAGCTTGTTGTACTAAAAGGGCTGTTCAACTGCCTGAGGACAAACTGTGGATTATATGCAACTCCAATGCTTAAGAAGCATAACCTCCAAAAAAAGAACAATAAGCAACTGGATTAATAGTGAACACATTGCACCGGAAGAAAGAGATTAGCATCTAATGAGAACGATGATAGATGTTCTTTGGAGTATATATTTCTTGGAGTTAAGTAAAAAGAACATCAAATAAATGCATCTTCCATAAGATGCTAATACTATCATCTATAAAGTCTATTAATACTTCCTCATCTGCTTGCCCTAAATTTGAGTTTTTCAGGTTTACTCACCGTATTGGCTGGCTGACAAAGGCATTTTTGTGGAGTCTATATGCTACATAGCTTGGGAAAGAGCCTGATTCCAGTGATACACCTTGTACAGAAGCAAAATGCTTCTCTGTTAGATTATATGATTCCAGCATCTTGAAACCTTTAATTAGGAGAGAAAATACAAAATAAAACCACTGTAGAGCTTTAAAAGACACGAGTGAACCGATACCAAAATATTAGACAGTTACTTACCAGGTGAAGTGTATCCCTCCAAGTAAATAAGAGGACAAGCTAAAAGATATGAAACAACATATAAATCAAAACTATAAAACCTAACAGGGTATCAACATATATATACTTCAGAAAGTTTTATTATCAAAATGTCTGTTATTATTAATTATCAGCCAACTTTTGTTGCATTTGTCATACTGTGTCCTGCTCTGGGGTAAATGTAATGTTAAAATCTTTGCTTGTTACTTTTAGTAGGATACTTCTACCATGACAAATTGTATGGAATAAGAAATGAACTCCCCAAATATTTTAAGAGGCTAAGTCATAATAAGAAAGGAGCATAATGACACAGTCTTTCCATTAATATTTAAGGCATGAGTCAGGCTGCATAATAGCTGTCAGATTCAGAAGGGAAAACTGCAGATTTATACATCTCCTCAGGAGCCAGTGGCTGAGGCAGTTAGGGAGTACGCAGTTGCACATGACAGGCCTGAGAATTTCTCATTTTTGCCATAGAAGGATTTCACTCGAGTAAACAACTGAACTTTATTTAGATAACTTTAAAACAGTATCACACCCTATAGCGGCACCCCTTTAGCACGCCTAGACCAGTGGTAAATAAGAGACCTGTTGTGTCCCTCAGTTCACATTAAGTAGTAATTGGCTCCCTTGAACTATGTCCAGATATTATGAAACCTGACCTTTATATGTGAACATTTCTTTTGCCATACCTTAAATAGGATGGCAACTGTAGCAGTATATAAGCAAATGTATTAACTTGGGAAAAGGGAAAACGATGTCTTCTACTCACTTGAGGTAGCTGTCTCACACACAAAGGTGACGAGGTTATCTTGAATCTTTTCAAAGGCATCAAAGTCATCAACAATAAATACATGACGCTCACTGGGCTTGCTGGCAATCTTGGCCAGCTCATTGTAATCTACATCAGCCACACCAACCACAAAGACACTGAAGCCTGCAAAAATAACACTTGTTACTTGAAATGTAGTAAACACACACTACCATTTTTCAGGTCAATATTTCACAGACCTTCTCTGTCACTGATTTCTCAGGCTCTACCTAGTCTTTTATCTGACCTTCATTATAAGCATACATTCTGGGCATCCTTCCACACTGTCAAAGCATAGGAGGGATTTAACTGATTTTTGCATCTTTCTTTCAAAACTTTCTCTTTCTTCCTTCATTGATTTTTGTTGGGCATTATCCAACCCCACACAGCCTTGCCTACATAGTCCCCTCACTCTTTCATACAAAATATACAGTCCTCTCAAATCTACAGTATCTTAAATCAGACTTAGCCAATTCTGGTGAAGCTTTAGCTGAAATGCTCTGACCAGCTTTGAGTATGACAAGGTGCAAAGAAAGCAAAGCAAGTAAAAAGGAGAGAAAAAGTGATAAGAGGTTTGGAAAACAAGATCAACAGGAGTTTGAAGGAAATGGGTTTGTTTAGTCTGGAAAAGAGAAGACAGTAAGAGGAAATGACAACAGGCTTCAAATATGAAGGCCCATTACAGTGGTCAGTGATAACTACTGTTCTGATTAACTAGGTAAATGAAAAGAAGACAGCAATTTCATTACCCTGAAGAAACACTTAGGTGAAATGTGAGACAAAGCTTTCCAACTACTAGGATAGTTAACACTGAAGCAGATTATTCAGAGAGACTGTAGAGATTTTTATGAATGGGGTAGCCAAACATCTTTAGAAACCATCTACACAGAGCTGATTCCTTCAGATGGCAAAGGCAGAGAAGATTACCACTTGTGGTTTACACGCCAGTGATTTCTGTAAGGAAGTACAATGTCTCCTTCCTCATGGAACAGGAGTCCAGGTGGTTCACGCACTGAAATGCAAAACTTCTGGGTGCAGGAACAGGAATAGATTCCTACACTCGCATAAGCCACATTAAACAAATCTGAAGTGGAAGTGCAACACCTCTCAGCTCAAAAGGCAATGAAGGGGTCAGTTCAGACCCAGCTCCACCAAAAGCAGTTACTTTAACTGGAGATCCACTCGTTTATACCAGGTAAAACATAAAGCTGAAAAAGTCAGGCCCATTACATCAAAAGCACTAGAATGGAGCATGCCTCACAGTGATCCCTGTGATCCACACAGCAAGGAGAGAAAGAAGTAACCTAAGTAACATCTATGAAATGATACACATGAGGAATTACTTGAAATCCTTGGGAAGCCACATCCTTCCGCAGAGAGAAGGCTAAAGAAATAAAAAGTAAGTCTGGCCCAGGGAGCCTAAATTCATACAATCACAGCATGGTTTGGGTTGGAAGGGACCTTAAAGCCCCTCCAGTCCAACCCCTGCCATGGGCAGGGACACCTCCACCAGCCCAGGCTGCTCCAAGCCCCATCCAACCTGGCCTTGAACACTGCCAGGGAGGGGGCACCCACAGCTTCCCTGGGCAACCTGGGCCAGGGCCTCACCACCTCACAGTCAAGAATTTCTTCCTAATACCCACTCTAAATCCCCCCTCTTCCAGTATAAAACCATTCCCACTCATTCCATCACTACCTGCCCTTGTAAAAAGTCCCTCCCCAGCTTTCCTGTAGGACCCTTCAGGAACTGGAAGGCCACTATGAAGTCTTCCCAGAGCCTTCTCTTCTCCAGGTTGAACAACCCCAACTCTCTCAGCCGGTCCTCACAGGGGAGGTGCTTCAGCCCCTGATCATCTTCGTGGCCTCCTCTGGACTCGCTCCAACAGCTCCATGGCCTTCTCACATTAGGGGCCACAGAACTGGATGCAGTACTCCATATTGGGTCTCATGAGAGCAGAGTAGGACAGAATCACCTCCCTCAATCTGCTGGCCACACTTCTTTTGATGCAGCTCAGGATGGGGTTGGCCTTCTGGGCTGCAAGTGCACACTGGTGGCTCATGTTGAGTTTTTCATCAACCACCATCCCCAAGTGCTTCTCCTCTGCACTGCTCTCAATCCATTTTTCACGCAGCCTGTATTTGTGCTGGGGATTGCCCTAGCCCAGGTGCAGGACCTTGCACTTGGACTTGTTGAACCTCATGCAGTTTGCATGGGCCCACCTCTCCAGTCCATCCAGGTCCCTCTGAGTGGCATCCCTTCCTTCCAGCGTGTCAACAGCACCACACAACTTGGTGTCACTGGCAAACTTGCTGAAGGTGAAGGTGCACTCGATCCCACTGTCCATGTCGCCGACAAAGGTGTTAAACTGTTCCAGTGTCAATTCCCTGAGGAATGTCACTTTTCACTGGTCTCCACTTGGACACTGGGCCGTTGACTGAAACTCCTTGAGTAAGACCATCCATCAAATTCCTTATCCAATGAGTGGTCCATCCACCAAGTCCATGCCTCTCCAATTTAGAGACAAGGATGTCACGCAGGACAGTGTCAAATGCTTTGCACAAGTCCAGGTAGATGTAATCAGTGGCTCTTCTCTTATCCACCAACGCTGTAATCCCATCATAGAAGGCCACCAAATTTGTCAGGAACAATTTGCCCTTAGTGAAGCCATGTTGTCTGTCACCAATCACTTCCTTATTTTCCATATGCCTTAGTATTGTTTCCAGGAGGACCTGCTCCATGATCTTGCATGACACACAGCTGAGACTGACTGGCCTGTAGTTCCCTGTGTCTTCCTTTCTTTCCTTTTTTAAAAATGGGGCTTATGCTTCCCCTTTCCCAGTCAATGGAAACTTCACCAGACTGCCACAACTTCTGAAATATAAATTCTTCAAACAGCTTTGAGTTTTTCTCAAATACTCGAATATGTTTCTGAGTCCTCAAATGGTGAGTAAAGGATTCCCACATAACTGAAATACCACTTATAATTGCATTGCTTAACACATAAGGAAATTAAAGAGCCAGGTACCGTGGATTGCTTACCAGAGTGCTGTATGACTGTTGCTGCTTTCCTCACCTCATCCTGAGACCGACCATCTGTGACAACAACAAGTACCTTGGGAACACCTCGCCTCATGCCACTCTCCCAAGTCAAAACTTTTTCTTTGATAAATGTTAGGGCTTTGCCTGCAAAGTGCACAATGAACAAGGAGTCAGCCATATTATCCACAAGAGAAGAAATCCCTTACTTTGAAAGGGCACATCCACACAGCTAAAACAGAACATAAAAACCTTAGGATGATGAGGCAGTTTCTGAAAGCTTTTTAACTTAAAGAAATATATTTACTGTTCAGAATTACCTGTCCTTGTGTTTCCTCCTCTGTACTGAATATTTTGAAGAGCTCCCAGGGCCTGGGCCTTGTCATCAAATGTATTCAGTTTAAATTCAGATTTTGCCTCATCACTGTACTGCACAAATGAAACCTGAAAGGGAATATATCACAGTGTTCTGTCTCATACCTCCACGTTCCGACCACCTCTTTCCATTTTAATATGTATTGTTGTATATTAGTAAGCATTAAATAATTGAAAAATCTTTTTCATATATGTATGATTATGCACATATTTATTTACATAGACAGATACCATCACAGCAATGCATTTTGACAACAGAATGTCAATAAAGTTGAATATATACAACATTACGTACTCTCTCGCCCTAAACACTGGAATACAATCAGTGTATGTTTATTCTGAAACCATCGTTAAATATTATGTGTATATATTTAATTTTGCCCCTTTTAATATTCTGTAAAATTGCAATATTATCATCTACTAATTAGATGCTGAATAGACATCTCTTTTTATGTATATATTCACATTTACTGAAGTAAATTCCCCTTTCTAAATGATTAATATACAATTCAAAACCTAAGATTGTTCCAACAATCACAAGAGGTATGTGACTGAAATATTTTACTTAGCATTACCATTTACCTGTCTCTGTCACCTAAATTAGGCCTTCTCCATCTCTCGGCTGAGGACCCATATATATTTGCAGGAAAAAAATATTATAAAACGTACAAACAAATGGAAAAGAAAACTACCTGGTATCGATTAGAGATAAGAAGGATAAAGAATGTCAAAGAAAGCAAAATATGAGGGGTATCTTTTCCTTAAAAATCTCTAGAGAGTTAAAGATAGGGAACCAAAGACCTAAAAATATCCCTGGAAGTTGAAAGTTAGTTCATGAGCAATGTAAATAGTTTTTATAGTTACTGGGGAAAATTACTCCTACAATATCCCATAAAAAATAAACACCTTCAGCCTCCTAACCAAGGAAAATACATTGCACCTGCAGGTCATTGCAATGTTCCAGAAGTATCCTGTAAGAAACTCTCTCACATCTCATGTCATTCACTTCTTCTAGTGAGAGAGGAATGATTATGGGAAGCTAGGCAGTGATCTCATCCAGCTTCTCATAAGCAGAAGAAAACGAGTAATGGCGCAAGGCTTACAGTAAGAAACCTGACAGGAAAAGTCTTGACATAACTATCATCAGCCCAGAAATCCTGCAAGTCTATTCCTCATTAGCTATTACTGTTTACTCTTGAAAGATGTGTTAATTCATTAAGAGGACTAACTTTCCACCTTTACATACTTTTACTGTGCCTACTGTGGAGTGGACCCATGCTATTTATCTTTAGGATGGGATGAAGAGACTTCTGCAAGTGTTTCTTTTGAAGGGATTCTGCCTACTTACTGCAGTGGGATTCTAGGTAGCTCGACAAGACAAGGCTAATGGCGAGGCAGCTGGACTCTGCATGCACAAGACTCCCTTCTTCCACTGAGAAATTAAAACGTAACCCTCACTCAGCAATCACTGTCCCCAAAACAGTTTTCTCATATGACACAGAGAAAACTCAGTGTATAACAACTAGGCAGTGTGCCAGTTGTTGATGCCCTATACAAAGAAATAAAGAATATAAAATTAACCATACATTGACCACACATCACCCCAGTTTCTCTGCCTGGAGGACTACCACACACTGCAACTCCTGTCTTTCAGAGTAGTAACCTCTTGGGATAGACTGGATTCCCTTCGTATTTACAAAATGACCAATATATTTCATAAATAATTATACATGCACACACATACATGTGTTGTACAACAACTTAATACAAAATAAAGCACTCTGAAAGAAAGGACAAATCAGATGTAACTTCAGAAATTCAGCTTCATTTTCAAGTTTTCCTCCAAAATGGACTCAAAGGAAATATCAAACCTACCTGGATTCCAGCAGGATTAATCAGGTCAAAGGCTCCTACTGTATTAAAAACAAATTTCACTACTTTGTTGAAGTTATCATCACCAATACTCCAGGAAGCATCAGTCAAGAACACTATGTCTGCTTTGGCACCTCTGCATACTGAGAGAACCAAGAAAGGAACACACAAAACACATCAATATTGATGACAAATATGCAGCAAACTTCTATTGCCATGCAGTCAATCTGGCAGATGCTCAACACAGAAACATTTACTAAAAATTTTCAAGTTCAAGAAATGAAGAAGAGCTCAAGAATGAAATGTAAGTGTTTAAATTACTTTATGCTTTTTTTCTGAGCAGCTACCATAAAACATAAACTGTATGCTGTGGGCAGACAGACTCACAGACTTGCTGCAGCACTACAGAATATAATGAATGTTTTCTCCAAATGTACACTTCTTGCTATTCTACACCAGGAAATGCTGAAGTCTGGTAAAGTTCAACAGCAAATGGGTGGCATTAGGAAGCTGGTCTCAAACTTTGTTTCCCTAAAATGCCATTATAGTTTTAAATCTATTTAAATTTATGGACATAAAATTAAACTCTCAAGTAGTGCAGCAACTACACAAAAATACTGAATAATTCTACAAATAAACATACCATCCCGAGCTGGAGGAATCGTGGGAGGTGGAGGAGGTGTAGGTGGCGGAGTAGGCGCTTCTGTAGGTTTGAGGACTGAAATGAAATAATAATAACTTTTTGACTCCATATAAATTATTCCATTCAAGGAAAAACTCTAGACTAGTTATGATATTACCACGCAGAAAGATACTAATCTCTTCTTACTAACCTATATAATGTATAATTGGCAGGAAATATTTATTGAGTTATAAGCATAATGAGATTACAGCTATTGTTTAAACAAGGGTACATGATTTCATTATAACAAGAATACTTGTACATGAGCTGAGTAACACTGCACTCACTCTGATAACGCATAAGATTTTCATCTAAGTGCTAGAAGATACTTGGTTTGAAGAAAAGGATGAGAATTTCTCTTTCCTTCACAAATTCCAGGTGACATTACACAAAGAGGAAAGAAGAACACTTAAAAGAGGTACTGAAAGCCATTTAGAAAAATTCTACAGCTGAAACAAGACAAACTTTATAGCCAAACCTTAAGGTTCACAGTATCTATTACCTACCTGTATGCTCCCTCATAGAGACTGGAGGTCCCTCAAGGTTAGGGGTCTGAACAAAGACGGTAGCATTGTATTCGGTGTCTGGTGAGAGGCCAGTAAAACAGTGGCTCGTTTCTGATCCACGTACTGTAATTTCCTGCCCTCTGGAACCTGTCAAAAAAAAGCCCAATGGAAAGGAAGTTAAAAGCCACTATAACCCTTTTAATATGTGTACAGATAAGTGTAGAAATTAGAGACCTCCTGAGAGGAGGTTGGAGCAGATGGGGCAACAATCTTACTCTTGACCCATAAAAGCCCTTCTAGACCTATGTGACGATTATGCACCCTGCAGTGTACACATGAAACCCAGGTAACCAGCAGATTCCCACTAATGACAGTTAACAATAAGCAGCACTGCCTCTTTGCAGCTTTTTTACCACTCTAGAAAAACAGGTTATGTTCAGAACTTCAAAGCTCAATCAGATGAATCATGCCTTTCAGTGGGTGCTTGCCACCATCCCAAATAAGTAGTGCTGTCACTGAAATAAGAAAATTAATAAATAAGAAAATGCAAAAAATAAAATGCCCTTACCATCGGCTGGGTTTAGCTTCAGTCTGTAGGAAGTTGCTGACCGATGAGGTGACCATCGGATACAGAAAGTATCCCAACCCACTTTGTAACTTGTTAGGTCAGTGACATTCAAATACACTGTAAACAGAGAAAGAGATAAATAGTTCTCTGGAAAATAGGATGTAATGGATGAAATATATCAAAATGAAAATTATATTAGCATTGCTGGTTCAGAACTTGATTCTTTTAAATACTCACAAAAGGAAAGAGCAGTCCTAGTCAGATCTCTTCATCACGGCCTAGAGATCCCAGCCTAGCTATTCACAAAGGCCCAAAGCCTGATACCCTTCCCATATTGGGTAACAGCCCATTTTATGAGTTTTCACATGAGGTAAGCTGAGTTCTTTTTAAAACAAGAAACTTCCAGAATTCAAAATCTGACTCTCATATATGGCAGTATGGAAAGAATGTCCTGAGTCAGCAAAACTCAGGATGCTTGATTCATCTTAACTGAAGAAATTTTTAGAAGTTTCTTAGCTGAGGCCATCACTAAATAACCTCCTTTTGCAAAGTAGACATTTCAGTCACTGGACGCCCCTGTGAGATAAAAGCAAAACAGCAAAAAGCCTAGACCTGCTGGTTGGATTCTCTAGTACCCCGGAGACAGTTAAAGATTGACTCCAACCATAGATGAATAAAATTTTAAGATGCAGACTAGAAAATTTTATATCATCAAATCATTACTTAAAACTGTATTTCCATTACTGCTTCCATGCTTAGTGATTTTAAGATCTGTATTATGGACAGATAATAAGTATTCTTCATGAGAGGATATTCAGACTTTTCAGCAACCAGCCTTAAAAGTCCTCTCTTAATCAGCATTATCTCAGATCAGCACATGTATCTAGCATGACTGCAACAGAATTATTTTGACTTACATGTAGTGCCTTGATCTGTCAAAGGTATGCTCATTCCAGCATCATACTGGGCATAAACATTGACATCGTAAGTAGTACTGGGAGATAGATTATGCAAGGTATAGGAAGTCACTTCTCCCACAAAAACTTCCATGGGGTCATTTGAACCTTGAATTGAAAGGAAGCATTAAGTACAGAGAGAGGAAAAAAAAGAATCATGATTAGGTGAGCTACAAAATTATCTGCCATCTTTTACATGTCAGTAAGTGTTAATCTTGTTTTTTCTACACCAAAACATACTAATTTCTTGGGTGACAGTATGTGAGACTGTTGCAAACAGAACATATACATAAGTTTACAAGTTATTGTGCAATGCTTGTGCTTAACTCGTATAAAGGTATATACATTGTTTCACTGTCAATACTCATCTCACATACACCAGTTCATATCCTCAGAAGGACAAGAGGTATTAAAGAGAGGAAAACCAAGACTGGTCCAGGACTTTATCTAGGCACTGTATTAAATTGTAACTATACTATTCCATCTCTGTAACTGAACGTATGAAACACTGTATTTGATAATCTGTGCTCAATAAGACTTAAGCTTCCATCAAAATCAGTAAACAAAGGAAATAAATAAATCCTTTAATACAAACATTCCATGATACATATGATTTCTATTCTGATCTCTCATCAGCACCTCACTACTCTGAAAGAGTTATACTCAGCATGTACAGGTTTTCTTACCCACAGGTTTGTACACAATTTTATAGCCAAGAACAGGGGATGGTGAAGGATCCCAGGAAACTCTGAATCGTGTATACCATTCATCAGTTATATACATATTCTGAGGAGGAAGCAGGCCAACTAAAAAGAAACAAAACCACTCTGATTAGACTAGTGACTGTTTTTCAGTCTCTACAGACTTACATTGTTGGGCAATAACCACATCAAAGACATAATTAACACAATGAAACCTTAACAGTGTTGGAGTGCTCAAGGAATATGTGTCTTAAACTTTAAAAAGAATATACAATTAAAACTAATTACCAGTTCTGCCATTTCCAGTCAGTTGCCCACCATCTCCATCTTCGTACACAGCCACAACGGTAATTTTATATGGCGTATCTGATTGAAGTGGTTGTAGTATGACATTATTTCTTATCCCAGGAACTGTTGTCTAGAACACAAAGAAACAGAGGTAAAAAAACTCTCAGTCCTGTAACTGATTAATAATGACAGTAACGAGAATTAAAAATTTGCTTTGACGCTTGGTGCACTTTTTTTACATCCACTGTAGATAAAGTCATGCAGGGTATCTTAAAAGTTATAGCCTATAAACAATTATTAGAATTAGTTATTTTAAATTATAAAATACTGTGGTCAGCACAAAAAGATAAATCAAATGGACTCTTCAGTCCCTACCCTCACATCAGACTGCGAAGCTGCAGTTGCTCTTGTGCTATAACCACTTTAACTTGTGCTATCACTAAGCTGCAGGAAATGTAACACAAATACTCACAATTCATATTGAACCTTACAAAAGCAAGTTAGATGCTGAATCAAACTTACCATTGCTTTCTTATTAAACTCTGACAACTCTCTTCAATATATAAAATGCAGATTTACGTTTATTCTGTATCTTAGCACACTGACTTCATAAGAAGTAACAGATGGCTATTCACTGTAGCACAACATTTGAACTAAATCTCAGGAAGCAGGTTATGCTCAGAATCTTCTGATTAATGTGTGACTCACATTTAACATTATTTCACTCAGAAGGTGGTTCATTAAACTGTATGTTCTGCAACTTTGTGGAAAAAAAAAATTAAAAACCTCAAAACTCTTTCATACAAATTCTGGCTTCTCAGCATTGACAACAACGACTAAAGTCGTCTACTACATGTAAAATAGGTGCCTTTATTTCTCTGTAGCCTAAATAATTAAGTGAGAAGGTCTTGGTGCTTACTAAGGAATTACAGAACTTACATATTCATCAATAGGGTCTCCCACAGTGGGTGAATAAATGATTCTGTACTGCTGGACTGGCCCATCAGCATGGTCCCATTGCACAGAAAGGCTGTTTGTGGTCTCATCGAACACTCTCACATTCCTTGGGCCACTGCGAGGCACTAAAGAAGGAAAATACAGGTTATATGGAGCATGATTCTTCCAGTCTGGCATCTCTCTCACTGATTAAAATGCTGCCCTGGAGTCAAAGCAAGGGCCATCCCTGAAACACTGAATAAACATATACAGGTAGATTTAGTCAGTGACAATAAAGCAGTACCTGAAGGTCTTAAATAGAAATAGGGCCTCAACTGGAGCAGTGTGGAAGGGAAAGAACATCAGAGGGACATGCAAAGTGAGCATCTATGTACATTCTGCTTCTCAGACTCTTGCAGACAAGTACAACTATAGCTATAAAATCTATAGTTACATCTGCAACTCTTAGATGAATGTGGGGATTTAACGGAGAAAGCATAGAAGCAGCAAAAGAGAGGTGACCTGTTAGATAGGTTCTTTACTTGTAATTTCTGGAATTAATTTTAAAGAAGCCAAGCATAAGCCAACCAAGATCCCACAAGCTAAGTTGTAACAATGAGGTTTTGGTGTTTAGGCATCTCTAGCAAAAAGCAAACATCTGGGGAGGCTGACATACACAATTATCATGTAAGACACAGAACATGAAGCACATTTCTTCCTGTTGGCAGCAAATTCTACTCATCTTAATGTGCTTTTTTTTCCCAGAAGATAAATTGATATTTATCTGTAATCACATTTTAAAGAACAACTTTTAAACTCTTAAACATTCAAATTAGACTTATTTCACAAGTGAAAATTAATTTGGTGATTATGCATGCACCACAACTGCCAAACAACATAGCAAAATCTCCCTTCCATGGAGGCCTGTAATTGCTTCAGCCATAATTCACATATATGGATCTATAGAGATGCAATGAATGGCTCACACTATTTGTTATTACAAGCAGTTTTATAAATTCTTCACGCATCAATTTTGACACATATTTCACAAAGCAAGTACTGACTGCCTCTTACATGTTCTTCCCTGTGCTTGGCTTGGATTTCCTTCTCCATCGGCATACAGAGCTACAACATTTATTGAGTAAGCAGTGTCAGGAGTCAAGCGCTCCAGCATCACATCACGAGTGTTGCCTGGTACCACAATCTACAACAGAAACAAAAAGCACCTATATAAAAAGAAGCTTCAGTTTATACCATGTCTTGTTAGAATGAACAATCTGAATGTAATATAGAAAAACCGGGAACGTGACCATGCTGCACATTTTCAAAGGAAAATAATACGAGTTCCAGATAACCAAATAATGTTGATAAAAATTCAAGAGCAGGTGAAAAAAATGATAAATACTGTCCTGGTTTTGCTGGGATAGAATCACAGAAGGTCTAAAACGGTGCCTATTTCTACACAAATCCAGGAACTCTTACTTCACACCTGGTGAGCAAATTTTTACCCATATCCAGACTTCACTGCACATGAGAACACTACTGATTTGGGGTAAACAGATGGTTTAGTGGTAAAATCACATAAACTTGGCATCTGGTTTTATAAGTAAACATTCCCTAATAAATACTTGTTTCCTTCACTCGATTTCAAGATAAAAAAGGTTTCCTTTTAACTCATCTTTACCTGCAATATGATAAAGGATACTCAATCTTCATTGCTCAGTTTTATATCTGAGAGTGTTATTTCTTATTTCTTTTATTTCACCAAATTAAGCATTTATTTACAATGGATTAAATTCCTGCATAGTGTTTTCAGCAGGGACACTCGGTTGGCCTGAGTTTATTATTATTCTGCTACACTTATTGAAGGAAGCGATACCCTCCACACACTTCTGTGGAACCATGTGAAAACTAAATTACTTACAGATTCTGATGGCCTTGGGCCAGACAGTGGAGAGTAATTAACTCTGTATTGCTGCACTGGACCTGGAGCAGGTTCCCATCGGACATTCATGCTGTTTGGTGTGGGATTGTAAACCTGAATGTTTCTTGGTGTTCCTCTCTCCACTGGATCAAAGGTAATATAAATTAAGTTTTACAAAGTTGCTTACGTAAGTTCTCGTTCTACTTGAATTTATAACAGTGCTCAAAGTGAAAAACACATCAGCCCAAGATAAACACATTACTTCTGTTACTCCAAAATCTACAAATCTAAGAATCTCAGTTATTAGCCTTTACAGACATCCCTGCCAGGCAGCAAAGTACACATGTTTATGCTGCAAATTGAAGGTATGGTCATAACAATTTGTTACTCTATTGTTGATCAGACAAGTATAAAAAGTAGCCACAAAATACACGTTTCAGCTCATGCTGACATTAGGAACTTAACACCAATATTTGCCATTTGTTCACCAGTATTGCTACTAGAACTACAATTAAAATTTTACTACTGTGCGGAAGTAAACAGTAAGGTCACAGCAAACAAAAGAGCTAAGTTTGCCTGAGATAAGTGGACTGAAAGTCTCCACCTGAATAAGCAAAGAAAACAGAATGAGTTACAGAGCTGCAACCATAACCAAGCAGGTTAACAGAGTTTCTCACACTTATGTTTTAGCTTTGGGGTAAATAAACTTCCACATTAGATGTAAAATCAATTTCTAATTATCTGAGCCACTCACACAAAAAATCCTAACGTTTTCTTGACGAGGACTATTTTACTTACAAGTTCTTCCAGTGTCAGAGGTACGTCCACCATCCCCCTCTGGGAAAACTGGAACCACAGTTACAGTGTAAGGCGTGTTGGGTTCAAGAGTCCTGAGGATGACATAGTTTGTGTTTCCTGGTACTGTTGTCTATAAATTTAAAAGGAAAGGTAGGGGTATGACATTTATATAAATATGCAAGAATTTTAAGCTTTTTTGTATCTCACTTCCTCCTCCACCACATCTTGTTTCTAGACTGGATGTGATAAAAACTTCACAAAAGACGAAGCCTGAAGTAACAGGGCTCATGGTATCTTCTAGAATTGCCTTTCAAGAAGGTTCTGTATTGGACTTAACAAATATGGTCATTATGTTCTATGCTCTCCTATACAATCTCTTACACCTATGTTCACTTTTGGGTCCAAAACAGTGACAGTATCAGCATCTGCAGTGATCTCTTTAATGACTACTATTTAGTAGCTCAGAGGCATTAAAAAGTCACTTTCTAAATAAATAAAAACAAACATTACATAACACTACAACATGCTAATGACAAGAAGTAATGAGCAGCTCATGCTAGAAAGTAAAACTCCACAGCATTTGAGAATATTTATCATAGATAGCTCCCTAGATGCTATTGAAACAGTGGCAACTCATGTACTCCTCATTTCACAGGCCCATCAAACTGCACAGATGTGGAAAAAGAAACACAAGTGAGAAAGAATAATATTTTCCTAGTCTGCAACATGGGTTCCCATTTTCAGGATTGTTTTACCTCTTTACCAATTAAGTAATTTTAGGAGATTAGAATAAAACACCTATGTGGATTTTTCTGCCTTCACAAATACCATCCCGGCTCACTGCATAGAGACACACAACTTCTTAGAAATAACTATGGGTAGAAATGAGGTCTGCTGACTTTATAGCCTTTTGTATACCCTAAAGTCAGCTTTACATTCACACATACAGCCCTAAGAATAAACAAACAAAAAACTGTGTGTTGTATTAAATCCCTGTGCTAAGAACTAATCACTGAAGGTCTACTATATAGAATCAAACATCTGTAATACATATAGGAGTAACTGACTTTCATAGAGGTGCTCTGCATTTTCTCAGGGGTAGTTATGAACAGAAACAAAAGCCAGTGCATAGGCTAACAAGACCCACTTCACTCCGCAGTATTTCTCTCACTAGCACCATGACTTGCAATTTATCTGAGACAGTGAAATCCACATAAAGTATTTACCATTTCTTCTGCACCTCCAGCTGTAGGTCTATAAAACACCTTATACTGGCGAGGACTTCCTTCCGCATGATCCCATCGGACATTCAGAGTACTGGTGGTTGGGTCATAAACCAACAAGTTCCTCACAGTAGTGAGAGGCTCTGAAACAGATCAATGAGTGTCAGAAATGGGGAACCACATTCTGTCACCTGTGCTATCAGATCATGCCTATGTAATGTATCATCAGGAAATCTAAAAACCAAGAAGTTCATGTTGAATATTATGTCTTCATTTAGCAGAACATATCAGCCCCATCCAACAGCACAAGAAATGATAAATATAGTGAGAAAAATTCCTTTCTGGACACTTGGAATTATACAATGAGTTCATTAGGATTGTTTTCCTGATTCCTCACCTAACACGTCGCTATGTCTGACTGTCCATTGCAGGGCCAAAAGTAAACAAAGTACAAATGAATATATAAATCTATTCATAAATTTATAGTTAATTAATTAATTAATTAATTAAAGATAGTGAATTCGTTTTTATGCCTGAAATGCCTCTGGTAGCAAATCACTCAGTGCTTTCTATAGCAGGACCAAAACAATACTATCAACATAAAATGGTAGAGTCTCAAAGTGCACTCTGTAAAGGTCAGCCCCTGAACTGAAGGTGCTGACTGGAAAATAGTAAAGTTACACTTAAGAGCACACACATGAGAGTCTCATGCCTTCAGATGCTTTAAGGTGTTTACTAAAATGTGGCATAAGACAATTAAACAGATTTAAATGAGGAAGAAGTTCCATAGTAACACTGGGGTTTCTCTCAGCCTTAAAAGATGGGGATCCAGTCTAAGGTCCAATGTTTCTCTACAGCCAGTAAAATGAGAGGCCTTCTTACTTTAAATACTTGACACCCATCACAGGACAAATGACAAATACAGATTGGATGAATTTTACAACAATAAATTTTTCCCAGCTAATTTGAAAAGCAATACACTGGTATTGTTTTTCACCTAGTAAGATCTCAAGAAGTTACTTACTGGTTCTGCCTCGTCCTGTCATTCGTCCCCCTTCACCATCTGCATATATCGATGACACAGTAATAGCATACGGTGTGTCAGGCTGCAGCTTCTGTATCACCACGCTGTTCTGCCGCCCTCCAACCATAGTCTGCAGGAAAACAGTAGAGAAAGATTAAATTCCCTTTTATGCTGCCCCTCTTACACCTACTGTTATAGTGAGGAATGTAAGCATTCGATGCAGAGTGGAAAACACTGTGGTCTATCATACTGACAGAAGGCATAGAACAACAATAATATTAGTATATATTCATCTTAGCAAGTTTAGACAGAGTCCAGTGACACAAAGCCAGTATTCTTTAAGATCTCCAAACTTGCACATAACCACAATTACATATCAGCTGCCAGTTCTGTGCCAGCACAGAGCTGTTTCACCACAGTGCTTCTGACTGTATCATACTGAAGTCAATGAGAGTTTATTCATTTTGACAGACTTTGAATTGGGCTCTTTATGCTCCACTCTCAGGTAGAATGCAAGCACAGAATAAATAACAACACTGTAGATCTCTAATGTACATTTGATACAATATCAACATTGTCCCCCTTGGATTTCAAAGGTATTACAGCATACTTCAGCTTCTAAAACATCTTTGTTAAGTGTCTAAAATCATTATACATCTTCCATTTCAATTTTTCATTTACATATAACCCTGCGATCATAATCTTCACCAAGCAAAAGCTTTACAGTGCACTGAGAATAATACTTAGACCTGCAGCCTTTGTGAATCATGAGCTTTTTGGGTTTTAATTGTGTGAAATTACACTTGCTCAAGAGCATCCTTTGTACTTTTAAGACTATCTGCACATTTTCAAAGCCTACTCATCTAATAGGTTTGCCATAACAATTCAAAGCTTCTGATAGTGAAGAGCTGATAATGAGCAAGCATTTATACATCTTCACACTTCACAGTAGTAGTTTATTTTACTTCACAAGGAAACTTTTTATTTGTACTCATGTGTACAAAGCTCAGTACAAAGCACAAATGCTTTTAGCATCCCATCATAGCTGCCTCCATATTTTAATATCTGTTTGCCTTTCAAAATCTTACCCTAAATGATCACAACAGTCTTTGCAGTTTGGTGTGCAGTTTTTGCAGAGTTGTCTTCAAATTACCTCTGCTCTTTCTTGGTGCTGAGGCCATTAAATGTCAGACAGAGCAATAAAAAACTTCTAAAAATTTTGTTTTAAATATTTCTGTGTGGACACTGCTACTGCCTACCCAGCAACTGAAGTTTAATCAAATATCACAGTAACAAAGAAACAGTCAAGAAATTTCTATCATATGACTGAGAATTATTTGTGGACAGATATTAAAATGCTATGAACAGAGCATGAGTGTTCTATATGCTTTCCTCAAAGAGGTGTCTTCTCCGACTGCCACTGCTGTTGTGAAAAATTAAGTCTACTCTTTGCACAAATTCCAACAGAATGCCCATAATTCGTTTCTTATTCCAGTACCAGCAATTAATTACAGATATTAATTAACCTCCTTGCTGTTCATTATTCTATTCTACTGATTTCTCACTAAATTTGCATTTAACTACTCAGTTCATTCAACAGTTCAATTACCTCAACTCAAATGCACACTGTTCAGAAGACAGCAAAAATGGGTGCGTAAGTATTTTAAAGTAAACATTCCTAGATACGCTTCTGGACATGTGTGATCTCCGATTACAGGAACAAGCTAAATGAGTGCAGTTTTCATCTAAGGCTGCTCCTCTGAGTCATTTGGCAGTAACCACAACAGCCTCCCACTGCAGAACAGGGCATTTTTAAGTAGCACACACTTCTGATAAACAGGCGAATTACCATTCCCAGGCTGTGTCGCGTAGGCTGCCAGTAGTCAACACAGCTCTCACTGATGATGCAGGGAAAGTTGGCTGATCATACGGTACTGGCTCTCCCTATCATTACAGCTGCTCAATCATATTAAAAGACACTATAATACCTTAAACACTTCCCTAGCAAATGTTTTGCATGGATTTGTTTTTGCAACTACTGCTTCTGGGTGGTTATTCTGATCCTAGCGTGGTAAGAGACAGTCTCGACTGTCCATGGTCTGTTCCACAGCAAAGTACCCCTGATAGCACATGAACCACACTATGAAAACTACAAAAAACACTGGGCTATGGAAGTAGTCATGGTGTGATAATCATATATCCGTGACTTGTAGTCTCATGTCCTGACTGATTTGTTCCTCAATACATTTTAACTTTATTCTAGTTATATCTATAGCCTATGTGATTTCCAAGAAAACAGGCTGTATCCAAAACTATTTTTGCTCCATAAAGAGCACTGCATCTTGGATTTAAAAGAGGAGAGAAAGATAAAGGTAAGAATATATACTTATTCACTATAAATATAAATCTTCACTTAAAGGTGATTAATTTATACACTGTTGTGGTTTGAAAATAAATTATTCTAACTGATTAATTTACAGAAGTATTACTAAGGTAGAATAACTATAGCATTTCAAGCTTAGTTACCGACTGTTCAGGGCCATCCCCACTGATAGGCTGGTAAATGATCCTGTATCTCTGCACTCGACCACTGGCAGGATCCCACTTCACAGTCAAACTGTGTGAAGTTGCATTGTACACCTGAAGGTTTCGTGGGCCACTCTTTGGGGCTAAGAAACATAATAAAAAATAAATATATAATTCCAGCAGAAAGCAGATACAAACACCTCATTCATACTTTAGGGCTGCATGAATGCCTGACCAAGAGCAGAATGTATTAAGTACAAGATAACAAACTATAATGTTTGTTAAATAATAAACATGTGGTAATCTAGTGTTCAATATTCTTCCAAATACACAATAATATTTATTAAATGATCTCAGCTTTTTAAGGTTAACATTTCTCACAGTTTAGAAAAAGACAGCTATGAGTTTTCTTTAATAATACCGTACCTGGAAATTCAGATTCTTACCTTGTGTGGTGATAGGTACCAAGGGCACTGGAAAAAAGCAGAAAGAGTTTTCAGAATTCTTGTACACGTGTGCCTTGTGATTTAATAACTATGAATAACAATATGCAGAAACCCTTTATTTACTTACGTGTTCGTTCACTGCCAATGAGGTCATCACTTTCTGATTCATCAGGATAGATGGCAGTAACTGAGATGTCATATAACGTGTCTGGGTTCAAATTTTCAAAGACCACACTATTCTCATCCCCATTTAAGATAGTCTTGTGGAGAAATATTTAAAAAGCAAACAGAAAAATAAACCAAAACAAAACAGAGAGTGAAATATAACTGAGTAACTTTTTACACAGTAATATCACTACAAGTAGCTGTAACTGTTCTATACCTCCTCACTGAATTTCCATTGAGCACAACAGGAGGGCTTGGAATTTATAGGCCCTTTATTAATTAAACTTCTGATTTTAAAAATATACCCTTTGAGAGACTGCTCACAAAATCTTATGGTGACTATCTATTCTTACCTCTTGTTTTTCCGGTCTTCCATAGGGTCCCCAGGTTATTCTATATAGAGAGACATCCGGAGCTCCATGATCCCAAGTTCCTCTGAAACTACTTGTGGTTACATCTGTGATTCTGAGATTGACTGGTGCTGGCACCGGCTCTATTATGAGAAAAGGGAAAGTATTCCACAAAATGTAACTACAAAATAAACACAGTTCAACTAAGGAATTACTCAGACAAAGAATTTAGAAGATAATGTAGAAGATTCATCTCTCAGTTACTGTGCTTCTAATGACTACAGTAAAGTGCTATAGTATCACACAGAACATCAAGAGTTGGAAGGGAGCTCGAAAGATCACCCAGTCCAACCCCTGCCAGAGCAGAATCACCCAGAGGAGGTCACACAGGAACTCGTCCAGGCGGGGTTTGAATCTTTTCAGAGAAGGAGACAGCCCAGCCCAACTGCACTAAGTCAATCATCCTTCATAAGGTCATATCACCAGGTCATCACCTGATAAAACAGACGTAGCTCTACTGACCTCAGCAGTGGTCACAACTCACACGCCTACTCACAACAACTGAAGTCCTAGCTCCTATATTGTGGAGCTAGAACGAGTGATTACGAACTCACCCCCACAGAGGTCAAGCTCATGCATTAATTTCTCCCAGATATTAAAAGAACATAAGGCAAAAATAACCACAAGAAGGATTATAAGGAAAACTTACGGGTGACAGCTTCTGCATTTATTGGTAGGGATTCCCCTTCATCATACACAGCAACAATTTTTACATTATACAGTGTTTGGGAGGAAAGGTCAGAGAGAGTAGTGCTGGTTTTGAGTCTGTCAATTTCCACCTAGGAGTAAAAATAGTGACTTCAGAATTGTAAATTGCTCTATTTCTGACTCTGCATTTGATTAAATGGCAGAAATTCCTACACTGAAAAACAGAAAAGTATTCTGCTTTATTTTGACATTTACCCCTAAATTTGCACCTGAATATTGAGCGCTATCTACTAAATCCCTTGCAAAGGATATTGTCTCAGGTACTGGTACTACTTGTGGATCTTTCACTGCTTCATTCTTTTGGAAATGAGGATGCAGAGTGCATCCTCAGAAAATTCTCATTCCCTTACAAAAACACATTTAATCTTCCAAGAACTGATTCACATCTAGCAGTGCAATTATGGAAAGCTTACATATAACTCAAACACATCTCTAGCAATGCTCACACATGTTCTGACAGTGGGCAAAGGGGTTAATATATCTTAATTCCACAATCCTGTCCTCCTAACTGTAAATTGTTCGTAGAGTTGGGCAAGATAATGCTTAGGCAGAGAGTAGAAATTGCTATTTATCAAAGTACAGGGAAATTCTCCAGTCATTTTGAGGATTTTTCCTCTCTGGAGGAGGAGGAAGAGGGAAGTACAGAAAGAAATCTGTCTTGTTCTTACTCAGTTTCCATAAAATCAGTACCCTTTCCTGACTGCAATCATCATGAACTGATGTTCTTTATTCTCAATGGTGGCTTATAATACTACTTTTACTATTATTTTAGCAACCAAATTCCCCAAAAGGAAAAAAATGTTCCAGCCATTTACCTCCTTTACATCAGCTTCATCAGCTATTTTGTATCTCAGGATGTATTTTCGAACTTTCCCTGGAGCAGGATCCCAAAGGACATTCATGCTGCTGTGAGTAACATCCTGCAGTGTTAGGCCTCTGGGTCCCGGCAAAGGTACTGTAAAAATGACAGTAGTAAGTGAAAATGCTATTCACAGCAGAGGTATAGGTCTCTCACAGAAGGAACTAAATTCTATTCATGCATTTCATTCAAATGGAGGCAATAACTTTCTGGGTAGCTCATTGTTCTGGTCATTAAACGAGACAGGTTAAGAGCTTACTGTCCCAGCAATGAGCAAAATAGCTATAAAGTACAGTAGCTTCATCTTTGTAGATTATAAGCACATTGCTTTTAGAAGCATCAGCGCTTAAGATCATAACTGTTGGTGACAACAGTCACTTTTCATGTACAGTTAAGGGTTTGACATTTTTTAAGAACATAAAATTAACCACACTGTATGCGTCTAGCCCAGAAACTTGCCTCTGCCAGTAGGAAACATTCAAGGAAAGACGTTTAACAATAGGTTTGAAAAAGGAAGCCACATTTAGATTTTTTTTCTTGGTGTGGCATGTTTCCATGGCATTTTCTATACTTAAGAGAATGTCTGAATTCAGAAACAAGGTTTCTAAGTTAATGCAAGCAAAACTGAGACCCTTTTAAAACACCATGACCATGAGATTGTCAAGCCAACTCCCTTTATTATTCAAGGAAAAAAGCCTTTTGTTCCTCTTTTAATAGTTGGTCCCTTTTCATTGAAATTGCCTTTAAGGTCTTTTGGAAATGTATGTGTTACAAAATGCATAAAACATGGAAAAGATGGTCTTCTAAACAAAACAGAATATATATAAACTGTTGAATGAAATAAACTGGAAGTTAAATGTTGCTGAAGCAATAACAACAAAAAAAAACCAAGATGTTCATACATGTCACTTCCTGGGTGGTGAGTGGGTCACTGGTGATATCACCAAACAATACATAAGCTGTTAAAGTGTACTCAGTATTGGGGATGAGATCTACCAGCTGAACCTCATTCACTGACGGTCCAACACGCATCTGCACATGAAAAACAACACACCATGTTTAAAAACTAAAGAAAGCAATGACAGAAAAGCAAGCAATGATTTAACTTTAAGGGAATTTTGTTTGTGAGATTCACAGTATATTTACAGCTTCCTGACTGATGTCATTGTATAAAATATCCCAGTAAGTTCACTGCAGTTGGAGAAGTACATACCAGTCTCTTTTGACTGTTATATCTAGAAAAATCTATCAATTTTTCTTAATTTATTTTGGGTAAAATACAGGAAGTGAAGACAAATGCTCTTACCTCTTTCTCCGTGGTAGGGACTGTGGCATTCACAGCTTCATATGTTAACAAATAACCAGTAGCTCCATTGAGAGGTTCCCATCTCACCCGCATGTAAGTTGATCCAATGTCATAAACATTCAGGTTTCTAACTGAAGAGATTGGCACTGCCAAATAAAAGATGTATTTTAATTTATTTCCTTCACCTTTCTTCACCTTTCATACTTCACATCACAGGTAGTACCACTCAGAATATTGCACATGGGCACTAAAGTACCTTAGGGGTAGTAGAAAGGTGATCTGCAAGTAGTGATATTTTAAGTGGTGCTTAGTTTAAGAATGAGGTAATGCTCATCACATTTTGTATATGCTGTGTAGATTTGCTGCACACAGCTAAGACTCTTACAAGTCTGCACTGGAACACTTGAATATTCTAAAAAGCAACATTAACTTACATGAATTTCTAATATGAAACAGAACATGACTGTTTGGGATCTATACTTATGAAAGGATTTTTTGTACTTATCTTCTTTTTTTCTGTATTTCTCAAATTATTAAACAAACATTAAAAAATTACCACAGACTTCATAAAAATCATGCACATACATTAAGGGTTTATGACAAGCCTAATACAAAATAATCAAAGAAATGAAATGAAAACCTAACATCCAGTATACTTAAAGAGGCGGGAAAGTCACCCTATGTTGCACTCCGCATAAATACACCTAAAATCAATCATGTAGACCATAACAGTAGAAACATAATGGCTACGTTATGTCTCACAGAAGTGATG